TTTAGTAGAGACGGGGTTTCACCATGTTGACCAGGATGGTCTCGATCTCTTGACCTTGTGATCCACCCGCCTCGGCCTCCCAAAGTGCTGGGATTACAGGCTTGAGCCACCGCGCCCGGCCCCCTAATGTGCTTCTTAAATTTGACATAACTTCTTTATTTTTCTTATAGTTTGGCACCAAGCAGTTCTGCTAACTAAGGAGTCTGCTTCATTAACAATAAACATTCTTGCTTCTATGCATTGATTTCTTCCTTCTTTTGGCGATACATGGATACACAACTACATACTCCCAAGGCAGATAAATTTGCCTTGACTTGAACAGGTAACAGATCTATGCTGAACTACTGCCAGTTACTCTGCTGCCAGGAAAGACCCACAGAGGGAGTGAGCCAACAAGCCACACCAAGGGATCCCAAAAGTGGAGACTGAACTCAATTTATTTGTAAGTCATTATCATTCAAACAGGTATCAATGGCCCTTTAAAACATGCAATTGGTGTCACTATTCCTAGGAAGTGTTATGACCAAAGCATACAGGTGGCTTATTTTTCTCTGCAAGGCTTGGAAGGTTTCCTGAACTTTGTGGGGAGGAAGGTGACCTAACATACCCTTGCCCTTCTGCTGGGCGTAGTGGTTATTCTCTGGACTGCAGGCTAACAGCAGCCACCATTTATAGGATGCTGTATTCTGCACCTTTTTTGTGACAGGATCTCACTACGTTGCCCAGGCTGGAGTGCACTGTAGTACAGTCAAGAGATATTCCCACCTCAGACTCCCAAGTAGCTAGGTCTATAGGCGTGTCCCTCCATGTCTGGCTAATTTTTTTAATTTTTAGTAGAGATGGGGGTCTCCTTCTGTACTTGGCACTTTAAATGGATTATCTTGAGGAAGGAGATAATCCTCAAGCTTCTAAGAGCGCTTTCCCCTAGACTTCTACATTGCATTTCAATAGGAGAAATAAAGGCTCGCAGGCCTGGGTGACACCCTTAATCGCACTCCTATAGATCGCAGGCATGGTATGGAGGAATCTTTCTGGAAGGCACTGTTTTTACATAAACACGATCACACCCCCACCTAAGTCATGTACCCCATGCCTACTTAATGGATCAAGACGCTTTCACATGTAGTTTCTAGAGTTGTAAGCCCAAGACCCTTTCACATGTAAATCTAGAGTTGTAAGCCTTTAAAAGGGCAGGTATTTTCTGTGTTAGGGGAGCTCAGCCGTTAGGTATCTATGCTGCTGCAGCTCCCAGCCAAATAAAACATCACTTCCTTCCCAGTTTGGTGTCCAAGAGGTTTGTTTCATGCCCTTTCCTGCTTCATTATTTGGTTCCCTGACCGAGAAGTGAGTTTCGGTTGGTGGCCAGCTGACACAGCCTTTCAGGCGGTTTTGCCTTGCCCTGTGAAGCATCCCTGTGGGGGACTGTAACCCACTTAGGCAACGCAATTCCTGAGAGTACTACCGGGCAGGTATTGGGGCCGGTGGAAAGCCTCGCCAGAGCAGAGCAGTAGAGTTCTCGCAGTGTGGATCCACCCAGTGGCTGAACAACAAGAAGGAATGGGTGCCTGGAGTGTCTGGATGACAGAAACATGGTAGGATTGATCCTAGGAAACGTGCCCACCTCCTTTAGGTGGAAGCGTGGCCTGATCACCCATGTGTGCTGGATTTGGCACTCTTGAACTCGGCTCTCACTCTCTCTCTTTCTATAACTAACCTTGGAAGTTTTGCTTTTGATTTCAATTTAGGTGGAGGGAGGAGTACGATTGTGTGAGTGATTGGAGGGGTCCAACTGGACTTGCCACCCGTGAAATGTGGGGGCTGCAGGCCCGTTAGAGAGGGCCCAAAGCTCCGAGCGAATTGTGGGATAGGTTGGGATTAGGGGTAATTGCATATGGCTAGATGGAGGTGCCCTCATAATCTAGACATTGTGAGGGGAGTAACGAGCTCTCCAATGCCAAGTGGCATCTGAAACATTCCCAAGAGGGAGATGATTCTACCGGCCTGAAGTGAAAGTAAAACAGAGAGTGTGTCAGGTCGTACTGGGTGGGGGAAACTGGGGGAGGAGTGTGATTGTATGAGTGATTGGAGAGGTCCAACTGGACGCACCAGCTGTGAAATGCAGGAGCAGCAGGTCCTTTTGCGAGGTCCTTAAGCTCCAAGTGACTTGTGGGACCAGTTGGGATTAGGGGCGATGTGCATACGGCTAGAAAGAGGTGCCCTTGCAATCTAGGTATTGTGAGGGGAGTAATAAACTTTCCAATGCTAAGCAGCGTCTGAAACACTCCCGAGAGGGAGACAATCCTACTGGCCTGGAGCAAAAGTGAAAAAGAGTTTGTCATGCCATGCTGGGCAGGAGAAACTGAGGGTGGAGTAAAATTCTCTTAACTGTCTGTGAGGACTGTTTTTCTGTGCAAAAACATGGATCACACTCATAGCAAGCCTACTCCTGTAAGGACTGTGCTGAAAAATTTCAAGAAGAGATTTAGTGGGAATTAGGGAGTAACTATGACGCCAGGAAAGCTGAGGACCTCATGTGAGGTAGACTGGCCAGCATTTGGGGTGGGTTGGCCCTCAGAGGAGAGCCTAGACAGGTCTCTTGTCTCCAAAGTATGGCATAAGGTTACATGCAGCAAGCCAGGATACCCTGATCAATTTCCGTACATATATTCATGTCTGCAGCTTGTACTAAAACCCCCACAGTGGCTGAGAGGACAGGCAGCAACCGTACTGATAGCAAAGGGACAGGCAGCTAGGGAAATATCCTGCTCCACCCCCCAAGGGACACAGACTCCTAATGTCCTGGCAGATCCAGCTGCAGAGGAGTCTTTGCCGATGATAACCCCTCCCCCTGGTCTGGAGAAAGAACTCCTCACCCCTGGGCCTGAAACCTCAGCACCCCTGCCAGAATTGCATGCCCCTAAACAGCCCAGGATAGACAAGAGAGAATGTGGGGGGACTCCTCCCACAGCCGCCCACTTCCTGGGAGGAAGTCCTCCTACAATAGCCTGCCTGTGACCCAAGGCAGGGGTACAGATGCCTTTAAGAGGGCAGAGGTATATGGGAATGGATGAGGATGGCCACATGGTGGAAAGGCGTGTTTTTACATACCTGCCGTTCACCTCAGCTAATCTTATCAACTGGAAAAATAACACCCCATCTTACAACAAGAAGCCACAAACTCTCATTGACCTATTGCAAACTATCATCCAAACTCATAACCCCACTTGGGCTGACTGCCACCAGCTACTTATGTATCTTTTTAACATGGATGAAAGGTGGAGAGTACGCCAAGCTGCTTCCAAATGGTTGTGGCGGAGTATGTTCCAGCAGATTACCAGAGCCCCAAGAGTATGTCAGGGTCCAGTCACCGCACACTGACCCCCAGTGGGATCCAAACACCCAAGAGGACATGCAAAGGCTAATCTGGCACAGAGAAGCCTCACTAGAAGGACTGAAAACGGGGCCCAGAAAGCTACAAACATCAATAAAGTCTCTGAGGTTATTCAAGGGAAAGAGAAAAGCCCAGCATAGCTCTATGAGAGGCTGTATGAAGCATATCGCATGTATACTCCTTTCGATCCTGAGAGCCCCGAAAACCAATGCATACGGAAAATATGGCATTAGTCAGTTAGTGTGTAGAAGACATTAGGCGAAAGGTACAGAAGCAGGCAGGATTTGCAGGCGTGAATACTTCACCATTCTAGGAAATAACTAACCAGGTGTTTGTGAACAGAGATGCAGTAAGCCGTAGGGAAAGCTGTAGAGAAAATGAGCATCAAACTCGATGCAGCACTGACTTGATAGCTGCCGCTATTAGAGGAGCGCCCCCAGAAGGGCGGGGAAAGGGGGGCTCCTGGAGGGCTGCCCAGTCTAATCGCCTGCACCTGCAGCATAACCAGTATGCGTACTGTAGGGGAGTGGGACACTGGAAGGACAAGTTCCCCCAGTTGACAGGAAAACAGGGAGATCTTGAGCACGAGGCTTTAGATAAAAGTGAAGGAGCTCTGTTCAATCTAATGGAAGGGCCACTGGACTGAAGGGGGCCAGGCTCAATTGCCCCCAAATAGCCCATGGTCAAGATGACAGTCCTGTAATCCCCCCTATCAAAGGAAACAGCCAATATTGTTGGAGCTACTGAAGTGTCAGAGAAACAGTCTTTCTGTTTGCCTTGGACTTGTGAGGTGGAGGGGCACGAGGTGATTCACCAGTTCTTATACATGCCCTATTGCCCTTTGCCCCTGCTAGGAAGGGATCTGCTCAGTAAGCTACGGGCAGCCATCACCTTCACCAAGAGTGGCTCTTTATGGCTGGCATTGCCTAAAACTGGAGTCATAATGGCCTTCAGGGTGCGTCATGAAGAAGTATGGAGGCTCTTCTTAACCAAACCAGACCAGGAGATAGAACCCACATTAGCAAAACGATGGCCTAAGGTCTTGGCAGAAGACAATCCACCAGGGCTGGCAATCAGCCAGGCCCCTGTGCTCATTGAAGTCAAGCCTGCGGTTCAGCCGGTTAGGCAAAAGCAAGATCCAGTTCCCTGGGAGGCCCTAGAAGGCATGCAGGTCCACCTAAAACACTTAAAGGACTACGGAATTATAGTTCCTTGCCAGTCTCCATGGAACACCCCCGACTTGCCTGTTCCTAAACCAAGGACCAAAGACTATAGGCCAGTGCAGGACCTGTGTTTGGTTAATGGACTTAAAGGATGCTTTCTTTATCATTGGACTGGCCTCAGAGGGTCAAAAACTATTTGCTTTTCAATGGAAAAATCCAGAAACAGGTGTAACCACTTAGTACACCTGGACCTGGCTACTACCCCCAGTGGTTCAAGAACTCTCTCACCATCATTGGGAAGGCATTAGCCCATGACCTCCAGAAGTTTCCTGCTAAGGGCTTAGGCTGCGTGCTGCTCCAATATGCTAATGGCCTTTTACTGGCACACTCCACGGCAGTTGGGTATGCTAAAGGAACAAATGCCTTACTTTGGCACCTGGAGGACTGTTGGTATAAAGTGTCTAAAAAGAAAGCCCAGATTTGCTGACAGCAAGTTTGATATCCGGGGTTCACCATCCAGCAGGGAGAGCACAGCCTAGGAGCAGAGAGGAAACAAGTCATTTGCAACCTGCCAGGACCCGAAATTAGAAGGCAGGTGAGAGAGTTCCTGGAGCCATGGGTTTCTGTAAACTGTGGATTCCAAACTTCAAGGTACTAGCCAAACCCCTTTATGAAGTCACTGAGTGGGGACAAATAAAGAGGGACAGATCCAGCTGCCAGATGGAACAGTAGCAGTGCCACAGCTATTGGGGGCTGCAGTTGTACAGGCCGTACACAAAACCACTCAATTAGGTCAAGAGTCACTTGAGAAGTTGTTAGGCCAGTATTTTTACATTGCACGCTTACAGCCCTGACCAAAACTGTGGCGCAGCAATGCATTACATGTCGGCACCACAATGTGAGGCAAGGTCCAACTATTGCCCCTGGCATCCAAGCTACGGCGCAGCTCCATTTGAAGATCTCCAGGTAGATTTCACTGAAATGCCCAAGTGTGGGGGGCATAAGTATTTGTTTGTCCTGGTGCGCACAGACTCTGGGTGGGTAGAAGCCTTCTGGACTAGGACTGAAAAGGCCCATGAAGTAACCCGTGTGCTTCTTCGAGATCTCATCCCTAAGTTTGGACTGCCACTGTGCACTGGCTCAGACAACGGACCAGCATTTGTGGCAGATTTGGTCCGGAAAACAGTGATGGCATTGGGTACTACTTGGAAGCTGCACGCTTTACCAACCACAGAGTCCCGGAAAGGTGGAGTGGATGAACCGGACCATTAAGAATAGCTTAGGGAACATGTGTCAGGAAACAAGATTAAAGTGGGTGCAGGCACTTCCCTCAGTGTTATTCAAAATCAGATGTACTCTTTCTAAGAAGACAGGATATTTCCCCTATGAAGTCTTATATCATAGGCCCCCTCCTATACTGCGGGCACTCCCAGGAACTCCTCGGGAGTGGGGAGAAATTGAGCTAGGATGACAGCTACAAGCTGTAGGAAAAATCACTCAGGACATTTCAACCTGGGTAAATGAAAGAGGCCCTGTAAGCTTATTCTCCCTGGTTCACCCTTTCTCAACAGGTGATCGCATGTGGATAAAAGACTGGAATGTAGTCCCTCTGAAGCCACGGTGGAAAGGACCCCAGACCATGATCCTGACCACTCTCACAGCCATAAAGGTAGAGGGAATCCCAGCCTGGATCCACCACAGCCGTGAAACCTGCAGCAACTTGGGAAGGTAGACCTAGACCCAGACAACAACTGCAGAATCACCTTAAGGAGGACAACCATCCTTGCTCCAGCCACATCCTGGAGGCTGGCTGGTCCACGCATGGCCAAAGCATAAGGAAATTCATTGTGGGACTTATTCTCCTTAAAAATTTGGATTTACATAGTAGGGATATTAACTGACTTCGGAGAATGTTAGTGTGTGTACCAGGTTACTGAGGTAGGAAGGAAAGTTGCTGTCCTTTTGTTCTACAGTTATTATCAATGTGCAGGGACACAAAAAGGAACCTGTTTATATAATGGTACTCAGTAAAAGGTGTGTAGCCCAGGGGATGGACAACCTGATATCTGCTACGATCCATCAGAACCCCTATGCATACAACTTTTGAAATTAAACTCCTAACAGGGCAATGGAACAGCCCTACTAAGTTAATAGCTAAAATACAGGATCAGGAAAATGAGAATGAGAGTAAGAATGAGAACTCTCACTAATGTTATAGGTGAGATTCTCAAAGTTGGGAGTGAGGAAGGAGACCCTTAATCCTCTTAAGCTTCTAAGAGCCCTTCCCCCTAGACTTCTACATTGCATTTCAATAGGAGAAATAAAGGCCTGAAGACCTGGGCTCCACCCTTAATCGCACTCCTATAGACCGCAAGCATGGTATGGAGGAATCTTTCTGGAAGGTGTTGTTTTTACTTAAACATGATCACACCCCCACCTAAGTCACATGCCCCACACCTACTTAATGGATCAATACCTTTTAACATTGTAATTTCTAAAGTTGTAAGCCCAAGACCCTTTCATATGTAATTTCTAGAGTTGTAAGCCTTTTAAAAGGCAGGGATTTTCTGTGTTAGGGGAGCTCAGCTGTTAGGCATCTATACCTCCACAGTCCTGGCAGAATAAATCATCACTTCCTTCCCAGTTTGGTGTTCGAGAGGTTTGTTTTGCGACCTTTCCTGCTCCCATCCCACTTAGTTTTCCTAACAGCCTATGAAATATGTACTATTATTCCCTATTTTGGTACTGAAAAAAAACAAAATATCTCAGAAATGAAGAGATTAAGCACAGGATTTGCCCAAGGTCAGACAGCTATCAATGCTGGAGCTGATGGGGCAATTCCCCAGCCTGAACTTTTAATAATTGTAGTATACTACCTCCTCCTGCCAGAGGCTAACATCAGGTTTTCAACTCTCATCCCTGTCAGGAAAAGGAAAAAGAAAATTAATATTCACTGCTGACGCTTCAAGCGAAAGGTTGAAAAAAGTGATTCAGGCAGTAATCTCATTCTCAACAGTTTTATAGAGATATAATTCATGTATTTTATAATTCACCCATTTAAAGTACACAATTTTGTGGTTTGTAGTATATTCACAGAGTTGTGCAACCATCACCACCATTGGTTTTAAAATATTTTCATTATCCTCAAAAGAAACCCCATCGCTATTAGCCATCATCCCCCATTCCTCCATCTTCCTCAGTCCCACACAGTATTGACTCTACTTTCTATGTCTATATATTTGCCTATTCCAAACTTTCATATAGATAGAATCATATATTTGGTCTTTTGTGAATAACTTCTTTCAGTGACTACTGATGGGGTTCAAGATAGGCTACCCCAAAATATGACTATAGGAGGCAGAATATGCCACCCCAAAATATGCATCTTTAGCATTAGAATTGTTTCAAGTTGATTATTTGGAGAAACTGCAAATACAGGAGAAACACTGAAAACAAGAGAAGTTACCCTTTTGTAAAATAAATTTACATCTGTAAAGGAAATCTCCATTTGCAGGGGTGTCTCCCTCTCTATAGCAGGAAGAGAAGGATGACTCTCAATCATTAGAAACTCTTTTATGTTATAAATGGAGAAGGCACCAACTTAAATCTGCATAACAAACTTTACCTTTGTTTACTATGCTTTTCCTGGGTTTCTCCCCATAACTAGCCTTCCCTTCCATGCTATTTATGCCTGAACTCAAAGCCACTTCTTTGGGATTTACTTATATTCCCTTAGGTATCCCATGCACATATGAGGTATATATGTTAATAAACTTCTGTTATTCTCTTGATAATCTGTCTTTGTTAAAAGGGTCTGTCTCAACTAAGAACTCTCAAGGGTAGAGAGGAAAATTATTTTTCAGGATCCCAGTTTTCTAAATTTGGGTTCAAAGATGGAACTGGATTCAAATGATAAAATTATATCCATTTATAAGAGATAACATTAAGTGAAAAAAGTAATATACAAAACTCTCTCTATATATATAGTTAAAACAAACTAAATATAGCCCAAGAAGGACTCTGTACTTCTATATTTGAGTCCTTATGGATGAACTGTAACCTAACTTAATAGGTAGACAAGATTGAAAACTTAGGAGTATGCACCTATAACAATCGCTGAGTCTTGGCCAATCCCAGCAGCCATACTTCAACCAGTCATACACTACTGAGGGTTCACGCTGTGTTCAAATAAGACAAATGTTGTACCAATCCAGCTGTTTCTGTACCTCACTTCTGATTTCTGTATATCACTTAACTTTTTTTTTGGTCTATAAATTTGTTCTGACCACAAGGCATCCCTGGAGTGTTTGAATCTACTGTGATTCTGGGGGCTGCCGGATTCACAAATCATTCATTGTTCAATTAGACTCCTTTAAATTTGATTCAGCTGAAGTTTTTGTTTAAACAAATGGTGTTCAGAAGTGGAGTCTAAAGTACAGCTTCTAACGACCCCCAGGAGTGCTGAGTGAACAAGTAAGGTGCCTGCAGGACCCACCTGTGTCCTTTAATCTCTCAGAGGGGCTGGGGAGCATTAAGTATTTTCTTGGATTTCAGAACCCCACGGATTTGCGTTTTCAGCTCTCCGAGTTTCTTTGAGAGCAAATTTCTGATCCAAACTAGGTTTGGAAGTCATGACAGAAACTGGGCTGGGTCCAGAAATGGATTTGATCCGGTAACTAACTGGCTGGGATCCAGTTAGAGGCCTCTTACATCTGACTGGGTCAGAAAGAAACTGACAGCAAATGGTAATATTTTAGGGGTATAAAATTTGGCTCTTAAAGATTTGCAAGGATTTTTTTTTCAACCCCTTTGTTTCATTTTTCTTGCCCACTTAGGTAGGAAAAATCATTGGCTAAGTTAATCAAGGGAATCTGAGAGCAAAGCCAATGTTTTATGTAAAGATGGGATCTTTAATTTCTGAAAAACTGAGTTCCTTCTGGCTTATACATTAGGCACAGGAGGCAGCAAAGTCTTACAGAAAATGGCGAAATCTTAGTAAAGGTAACTTACAGTAGAACATTCTGAATAAACAACAATGCACTGAACTGCATTTACAAATGAGAGCCCCCCAAAATTATATCTGCTATTCTTTCAGCTTAGTTACTATCCTGATCCAAAGGAAACAGACCACAGCACCAATTGGCTCACTTTGGATAAGTAATGGGGTACATTTTAACTGAGTAAAAGATGGGATTGCAGTAGAGTTCCTTCCCTCAGTAAAGTCCTTCTTGGTTGAAAATGGAATAAAGGTGACAGGGTCCAACCAGGGGTAAGTTTGAGGCTTGCCAGTTCAATATTGGGTGCCAGGCAGAGTGGCTAATGTCTAGGTTTAGTCACACGTATTTTGCTCTGGCCAGAATGAAAAATGTTAATTGGGTTATGCCATGTAACCCCTTAGGTGGCAACCTGTAAAACTGAGAGGCTTTTGCCTAAGGAACAAAAAATATGATTTTCCTTTATGATGCGGCTTGGCCCCCAGGGTTATAGTGTGGCAAGCAGGGTCACTAGGGCCTCTCTGGGAAAAAGAACCCAGAAGTCTGGCCTGCCGGCAAAAGGGTTAACAATTTCTTACCAGTCAGACTCTGACCTTTCTCTTTCCGTGCAAACTCGTTAAATGAATTGTAAAAGTTACTGTTTATCTCCTCTATAAAGTTTGGATTAATACAAAAAAAGACATCCGAGGCTGGTCTTAAGCTGTAGTGAATCTGGTGGGCTTTGCGTCTTTCTGTATTGTTCTGTCATAAAGAGGGGTACCTCAGGCTAAAATGTGTGCCTAGGGCCCCATAAGTCTGCTGTTCAAGACGGCCCAGAAAACTGGTCAGTTATGTCCTTGGAGCTCGACCCTGTAACCACGTGGTGTGCTTTCTCTTTTCAAAATGGCAGCCCAGGTTCAGGGCTCACTTCCTGGCTTAGGGAATGAGTATTTTCTGGTTTGAGATCTGCGTGACCTTAACCATTGATTCTCTTTCCCTCCATGAACCGTCTTAAATTTTCTTTTTCTGAGCACAGAAATTGGCCATTTGGCCTAGCCAAAGTTGGGTAATAAAAGATTTAAAATGACTTTTTTAAAAAAAGTGCTATGGTTAAACGTCAGCTTAATTAAAAGCAGATATTCAAGCTCTAACAGCCTGGGACTCCTTGGGAAAAACAGGGGGTGCCAGAGACCCTGTTTTGGGGGGAAAAAAACAAAACCTATTTTCCTCATGGAACCCCAGGAATTGGAAATGGATAGATCCACCCAAAATCTAAGGCTCTGTTCTCTTTGGGATCCAGGAACTGGTATAAAAATGGGGCCCTTAATTTCTGGAGACCTGTTTTGCCTTCCAGCTGTGCCTGCTTATTACATTGGACCCTAGAAACTACATGCTGTCCTGGCCCTGTTCTTCTAAGGACTCTACCCTAAAGCCAGTAATCCAATTTAAGAAAATTTAAAAACTGGCAAATGAAAAATCTTACAACTACTGGATCCTCTTTGTAGTATATATGTATTGTATATGTAATGTTTATATGAAACAGCTCTAATTAATAGGCTTTAAGAAGAATAAGTGCCTAAATATTTTGTTAGAAAAGTAAAAACTGTAATGTTTTAGTTCATATAACTTTAGTGATCTTTGGGAAACAAAAACTGCTTCCTACACTTTTGAAAATTGTTCAGTTTACCTACTTTGGAGCATTAGATTGTAGATAAGGTCTGGAGACATGTGGAATTAGCCATGCCCCCTAGCTATGCAAAGAAGGTTATAAAGAAATGAGATTTTATATAAGAAAGGATTTTGTATGGGTAATTCTTGTCCTAAAGTAAAATAACTGGTTGTTTAAAAAGAGGGATGTTTAGGATAAGTCAGAAAATCCACGCATGATGCAGATGGCTGTGTTACGTAATCAAAGGATTCACGAAAGGACATTTATGCACCAAAAGCAAAAGTTGCTAAGAGTTACCATTATAACATGTGATTGAGACTACTGAAAAAATAGTTTTACATGCAAGGTGTGTGAGTAGAACGAAATGTGTATTTAGTGAGATTATAAGGCATGGGAATGTAAATTTCTGCCTAGTTTAGAGGGTTAAAGGATTGTTTTAAATTAGATAAGAATAAGCTAAAAGTTTGAACAAGTTGTAAAAGGTTTGTAAAAATTAATCTTGTAAAAAAATTCTGTGTATGAACACACTGACTAAATTTAAAACAGTATTTTCCAGTTTTTTCATAAATTGAATACAGAAATAAAAGCAAAAACAGCGTTTTGTAAAGCACTGATCTGCTCTTTAACAAAAATTTGTAAAGGGCTATAAAAGGTTTATGAGAATCTCACCTTATGGACAAACTGATTAAGATTGGAAAGATATGTCTATAAGATATTATTAAAAATTGGAGTTGATTTGTCTATAAGGTTTTACTAAAAATTAATACTACAGTAATGCAAGAGTGAAATTTGGCTTTCTCTTTTGAACAAGATTTTCATGTAATATTAAAAGATAATGAAAGATTTTTGTTTGCCTTTTAAATAAACTACCAAAAAGGGGTGAGTGGAAAGAGAGAGATTGGAAAGTTAAGTCTTCACTCTATCAATGAGTAAATGTTTTTAGCTTTTAAAAAACTTTTGACTCATCATTTTGGCTAAATGAATGACTTATGGCAACCTAGAATTCTATTTCATAATGTCAAGTGTTTTAAACCTTTAACATATTTGACAGGGTACCAAAATCAAATTTCAGCTTCAAAACTGTCTTTTCTTTCCTCTAACACTGAAATGCTACAGAGGGCCCCTAAAGCATCCAAAAGAGAGGTAAACAGATTTGACATGTTACATGGGAAGCATTATCAAAAAATAAAAAAAAGTTTAATCTTCTTCAGATTGTATTTTAGTGAATGATATTAACATATGTTCCAAAATTGTATGGGATCTCTAAAATTCTAATATGTCTGAGTATGTGCTATCATTCAAAATACTACTATTTTATGTTGTTATTGTAGAACACAGAAATAACCAAATTTCCTTCTCAATTGTGTTTTTATCTATAACTATTTAAAGTCATTTCCACAGTTAATTGCTTAATGCTGATGTAGTTTCTGAAAACTTCACGAGCACACAAAATCCTAGAATATGGTGTCTTTTAGGAGGTTCATCAAAGGATGAAAATGACCCTAAAAAGCACTCCTAAATACAGGTTTCTAATAACTTTAGAATCATATCATTTGAACTGAGTAAGGATTCCTGGAACTTTAATGAAAAGACTGACTGGGTTATAAAACTGCTAACCCAAGCAGAACAAAAATTAATTAAATACCAAGAAAATACTTTGGCTGGGTGCGGTGGCTCACGCCTATAATCCCAGCACTTTGGGAGGCCGAAGCAGGTGGATCACGAGGTCAAGAGATCGAGGACATCCTGGTCAACATGGTGAAACCCCATCTCTACTGAAAATACAAAAATTAGCTGGGCATGGTGGCGCACGCCTGTAGTCCCAGCTACTGGGGAGGCTGAGGCAGGAGAATTGCTTGAACCCAGAAGGCAGAGGTTGTGGTGAGCGGAGATGGCACCATTGCACTCCAGCCTGAGTAACAAGTGTGAAACTCAATCTCAAAAAAAAAAAAAAAAAAAGAAAATGTTTTGCCAGATTTTAATGCAAAATCAGCTGATACCAAAATTGTTTAGATTCACAATTTGAATGAACTCTATGGTCTAAGTCAAATTACCCATGATAACCCATCAGTTATGAGTGCTATGCAATTAGTTTGAAGAAACAACTGGTACTCAGGAGGACATAAGTCTAATGTTAATTAAGCGTGGACTCACGGAGAACCAGGATGGCCACCTTGTCCTTCCTGAGTCCTGAAAGCTTTTGTTATTAAAAGTTCTGTATTCCATGACTTGTCATGGAAAAGGAAAAAATGATCCAAATTGAATATATTGGTGTGGTGACTTACAAATTGCTAAAATAGCTTATAAACAATGTTTGGTTCTATATTCCTGTGAAAAAAAATCAAAGCTTCAGGTACATTTCGTCACCTCATGGGCCATTTAAACATTTTTTTTTTAAAAAATTTCATTCAACTATTATTTTCAATCCATGTTTTCTGGCTGTATAAAAGCTCTCCCATGTGAGAGGGCTAATGTTATAATACTAAGTTATTATCCCACAGTGTATATTCACCAGGTAAAGAAAGCTTTTTATGGTTCACTGAGGATAGTCAACCCCTTCACAATCTAGAGCCTGAAGACTGGATCCTCTAAGAACATCAGAGAAAGACTGTTCTTGCCATCCACATTGCAGCAAAACTTTGGAACCTTGAATTTTTAGTTCATAATCTCACAACTGAGAAGGGTCCTTCCACACTCTTAGACATGTACACCCATTAGAACTCTTAGAGTAAATCTACCCAGGTAATCTCTCCCCAGAAGATGGCATCCTTGATGTGAACAGCTTTTTCCATGATCACAGATCAAGACTTCTACTATCATGAGACTACTAACTATGAATATTTTTTCTTACTTATGCTTCTACGAACAACAGAAATGAAAGTGGGTCTGTTGTGTGCACTTATAGAGTATACTTTTATTTGTGCAGGATTTTGCAGCCAGGCTTACACATGGATAACCTTATATTTCATAAGGCAAAAGATGAAGGCCCAATGTAGGGGAGACATTTTAATGGTACATATGTTGCCTCATTATCAGTCAGAAACAGAACATTAATTCACTCCTCTTAACCTACATCATGAATTAAAAAGAACACTGCGGCTGGGCGCGGTGGCTCATGCCTGTAATCTCAGCACTTTGGGAGGCTGAGGCAGGTGGATCACCTAAGGTTGGGAGTTCAAGACCAGCCTGACCAACATGGAGAAACCCCATTTCTACTAAAAATACAAAATTAGCTGGGCATGGTGGTGCATGTCTGTAATCCCAGCTACTTAGGTGGCTGAGGCAGGAGAACTGCTTGAACCCAGGAGGCGGGGGTTGCAGTAAGCTGAGATCGCAGCATTGTACTCCAACCTGAGCAACAAGAGTGAAACTCTGTCTCAAAAAACAAAAGCATCAACAAAAAAAACACTGCCAGGAAGCTTTCACTCTTCAAGAAGGGCATCATTTGCTAGGTCCTTTGCCCATGGTTTGGAATAAAAAAGGCAATGATTAGAATGAATCCCACATAATCGGCTCTATAGCAGATTCTACTGTAAAGGCTATGGTTACACAACAGACTTTAAATTCTCTTGTGAAAGTTATAGTCAATAATAGAATTGGCTAAACAGAAAAGTATCTGTGTATGCGCAGCTGTTGGCCTATAGAGAAAAGATCTGGTATTATAGAGATTTAGTTGTAGGGAATTAATGAAGAAACTGCTTAGTTAAGTGAGTAGACTCTTTAGCTTTGTTTGTTATATTTGATTTTAGGTGGTTTGCTTTACGGGGACCCTGGGTTAGGAGCATACTCCAAACTCTTGTTATTATCCTTTCAATAGTCATAATAATAGTCTTTCTGGTGCACTCTATTCTTTCAAAGGTTTTAAATGTTTGCATACAGCCATCTCTAGAATGTCAAATGGTCTCTCTTCAACTGGAATGACAAGAGCTGAAGGAAATATTACAGGGCACCATAACCTATGAATGACATGGTGAGACTGGAAACCCAAAATGATGGTAACTGAGAGTGGCACTAAGGTCATAAGTTTTGGTCATGCTCAACTAAGTTAGAACCTGGCTAAAAAGGGGGAGTTTTTTAAATCAAAATTATGGGATGCCATTGTTTTAGACTGAGCTCATGCACTAGGCCCCAACAGACCAAACAAAAATGGAGTCGCTCATGCTAAATGTGACATAATCAAACTAAGGCTTTAAAGAAACATAGATCTTACACCAGAAAAAAACAGGTTTTGTTTTTCTCCTGTAAACAGGACATTCCAGGATAAAGAGGTACCTGCTACTCGGTCCTTGTGCCTATCTTTGCAAGACTCACTGTTCTACTGTTTACCAGTGGGTTTCAAGACCAAATGAAGTACATTTATGATGGTAATACTGACATCAATGACAAAGTTTTAGTCAATCTCTCAAAATTAAGAAAATGACCAAAAGGGGGGAATTGTTAAAGCAAACTAAATACAGCCTGAGAGGGACTCTGTACTTCTGTATTTGAGTCTTCGTGGCTGGACTACAACCTAACTTAATAGGTAGACAAGAATGAAAACCTAACTTAGAAGTATGTGCCTGTTACAATCACTGAGTCTTGGCCAATTCCAGCCCATACTTCAACCAGTTATACAGTACTAAGTGTTCAAACTGTTCAAATAAGGCAAATGCCAATCTGTAACCAATCCAGCTATTTCTGTACCTCACTTTTGATGTCTGCATGTCACTTTACTTTTTTGTCTACCAATTTGTTCTGACCATGAGGCACCCCCGGAGTCTCTCTGAATCTGTTGTGATTCTGGGGGCTGCCCAATTTGCGAATCATTTATTGCTCAATTGAACTCCTTTAAATTTAAATCAGCTGAAGTTTTTCTTTTAATATTATATAATACAGGTTAACCATTCCAAATCCAAAACTCAAAAATGTGAAATGCTCCAAACTCCAAAACTCTTTGAGCACTGACATGATGCTCAAAGGAAATGCTCACTGAGGCATTTCAGATTGCAGATTTTCAGACTAGGGATGCTCAAGTAGTATAATACAAATATTCCAAAATCCAAAATTCAAATACTTCTGGTTCTAAACATTTCAGATAAGGGATACTCAATTTATAATACCATTTTCTTCACAAAAGGCAAAGAACCATAATATTATCCATTTTTTTTCCCATAGGTGTCTCTCACCTCAAAGTATGGTCTCAAAGAATGCATATGGCCATGTGCATGAGAATCATCCTGGTTGCATATTTAAAAAGCATATCTCAGAACCACAAAATTAGACGCTTTGGTGAGGCTCAAGAATCTGCTTTTTTAAAAAAAGAAAAAAAGTGAGTACCCAAAGTTTACAAACCACTGCAGGGATAAAAATAGTGGGTTTTATTTCTTTCTTCTTTATACTTGTCGGTGTCTTCCACATTTTTCTACAGAAAACAAGTACAGATAGTCCCCATATGATGGTTTGACTTATGATTTTTCTGCTTTATGATGGTGCAAACATGCTACACATTCAATAGAAACTGTACTTCAAGTATCTATACAACTATTCTGTTTTTTACTTTAAAAGTATGGTATTCAATGAATTACACGAGCCGATTCAACACTTTGTTATGAAATAGGCTTTGTGTTAGATGATTTTGCCCAACTATAGACTAATGTAAGTGTTCTGCGCACGTTTAAGGTAGGCTAAGCTATGATGCTTAGTAGGCTGGATGTATTAAATGCATTTTTGACATAATATTTTCAACTTATGATGGGTTTATTGGGATGTAATCCCATTGTAAGTCAAGGAGCATCTGAATTTCTTTTATAATTGGGTAGGGGAGGGTGAGAGGCATAAGCTGTTTTGTTTTGATAAAGCCAGGGGAATGGTGAAGGAGAGAAAGAGCTTGCTTCTCCTTTTTCTCTTGCCCAAGTGTCTACAGAGGATAAAAAGGGGCCACATTTACTTCTGGGTGGTTTCCATGCCTCAGAGCTTAGAGCAGGAGTGAGAGAGCACAGGTATTTTTCCTAATTGGTGTCCTCCACTAATCAGGTCAAACTGTGGAAATACTTGCCTCAGTTCTTTATTTAGCTAGGGCTAAATGCTCTGAGCATTATGGCTTTTTTTTTTTTTTTTTTTTTTTTTTTTTTTTTTTTTTTTTTTTTTTTTTTTTTTTTTTTTTTTTTTTTTTTTTCAGGAAGAGCAAGCAAGTTTCCCTCCTGTCTATTAAAAAATACCTTTGCAAGGCAAAGGAGGTTTTTTTGCCATCTCCCCACATTTTCTGTTGGAAAAAGCCATTCTCCAGTCCTAGTTCTCTGGAATTGTGGAGCACTGTGCTGTGGCTGTAGGATCCCAGTAAAGGGAGGTAAAAGAAGTGTGTGAGGGAAAAATAATCAGTTAAGGGTCATATTGCTAGGGATGCCAGGGAATATATACATTTATTTACCCATATATTCAATAATACAGTATGGATGAAGAACATGAAATAAGACAAACCTCAAGTTAAGCCCTGGTCCCATCACTAACTAGCAAGCTATTTAACCCAACTAAGTCTCAAAATATTCATCCACAAAACAAGATAAATACTTATTTTTATAGGGTTGCTCTAATAGATAATACATATCAATTACTATGTGCCAGGCTCCATGCTAATAAGGGCTGAAGATCCAGAGATAAAATAAATATAACTCAGGACCTCCAAAATTCCCTACTTACAACTTTTTAAATTACAAGTACAGAAATAGGTCA